GAAATAGGATCTTCAAGGAGCAAATGATGCCTTTTTTTAAAATTTTTATTTATTTATTTTTTTAATTAAAGCCCCGGAAGTCTATTAGTCACGAAACACGATTTGATGTTGTGTTCTTTTCATTCGATTCTTTTGACGTTCGAAAAAACGTAAGATAAGTGGAACTTGAAGATACGAATTTCATTTGTTCCAGCATTGAGCTCGTATAGCGAATTTCTCGCATCTAGAAATAAACTTCTTCATTGAAAATAATGGAAAACCAGTTAACCCGTTCCGCACCCCCAAAAAATATCAACATATCAATCCATTTTCGTAATAAATAACACTGGTAAATAATATAACCGTAGTTTACCTTTATGAAGAGTTCTGACTGGCGACAGGGATGTGGTGAAGACAAAGAAATAATACCGGTTCTCTTTTTAAAATTTTCAAACCTTCCACGGCTTGCCTTAAATGCCATCTCATCTTTAGTCGACGTACCTGGTGTTTTTCGGAGAAGGTCCAAGAACAGATTCTTAGCCTTAGAGCAAATGATAGCTTCCGACACCGAATCGCCTTTTAACTGCTTCTCGTTAATACACACCAACAACAGCTTCTCAACATCTTCTACGAGTTTTGGAAGTAACGGTAACTCCTTTGACTACATCAAGTTTCTTAATTTCTTCCTTCTTTTTCAGAACATTGTAGAGCGTCGATGTCGAACGGATGTCGAATGCAAGTCTGCCAATTCCGTCACTCTTGCACCACACTTTATGTTTATCTATACCTTCCTTAATTTCAATGGCCATGGCTTCATTCTTTTAATTTGCAGCTCTATCTGAGGCAACAATCTTCTATGAAATAATAATTTTCACTTTAAATTGTAAAAAACAACAAGCGCACAAACACGTAGATCAAAGAACACTCAGTGATCTGACGAGAGTATTCTCCGAGTCGAGCCGGATGGGGAAACGCGCCACGCATACCAGTCGACAACAGCATACCAACAGCCTGTCTTGGTGCTCGTATTTAGAGACGAATTTTTCGCTCATTTTTTCCTCGTATCTCGAATTTCTCGTATATAGAGGTGCTCGTACCTCAAGGTTCCACTGTATTATTTTTTCACATTTAATCTGTTTGCTATTAAGTAACAACTAAATTATTTAAATAAATTAAAAGGAATAAATGCAGTTCTTAAAAATGTTATTTTTTTACTTTTAACTTTATTATTACTTACTTTACTACTTTATTGATTACTTACTTTACTTACTTTATTGATTAAAATAAAATGCATTTAGTTCATGGTATGTTTAATTAAAAACATATATATATTTTATAGAATTATATTACATTCCCCCTACTTTTTAAATATGTTGTGTCTTTTGACTTATCTCACTTGTCTGACAGTAACATCAAAATAAGCCCACTAAATTCATCGTGGCAAGGAGTGTACGATTGCCAATGTCGTTGGTCTTGAGCACCATATAGGTGACAGGACGACTTTTGCTCATTTCCGCCTTAAGTTTTTAATCGAGACCTCTCCGTGGGTCTCTCAACCCCCTTACCCTACCACCAACATCTCGAGAATACTTTCACCTCGCCGCATATTTAGAGTGCCCCCATGCCGCACAAACGCTATACATTTACTGCCTTCTGCAGGATCTTCGATACGGCAGTCAGAGTCACTGACCACTATCCTTATTGGGCGGCACCTTTTAAATAGACAGAAGGTACATAACATTCCCCTATTGGTCTCAACACACAATTCACCTAATATCCTATAAAACGTTTTGCTATTCCACTTGAGCCGTCTCTAGCCATAACTGCTGCTCATAAATGATATTAAGATCCCTTATGGGCGGTCTGGAAAGTTTGATCCCTATCATATATTTATTTAATTAATTATTTTTTAATTGCTGAGAGCATCCTGAAGAATTCAATCAGTTTTGTAGCTGATAGAATGATTAATATTGTGTTATTTTTAAAATAAGACCTTGTAAGGCAGCAAGGAAACTGCTAAAAAACTTTATTATGGTCATAAGAGTCTCTGTTAATGGCAAGAGATTTCAAGTAATCGAGTTCCTGTTTAGGAAAAGTTCGTACAATAAATCTAATAACAAATTGAATACATTTTTTGTTAAGCAGAGTGAGAAGATTTGACACGAGTAGGGTAGCAAACAGAAAAAGACGATAAACAATAACGCTAAAAATCTGTTTTTTTAGGGGTGATTGCAATTTCAGATTTGAAGACTTAGGTGCTAAACTTATTAGAACCAGGCTCCTGTGCGATAGCCGCAACCTGAGTGTAATGTATAGCAATTGCATAACTTTTTATAGGCATTGAGCTGAATGGTTATATCTATCGATAACAGATAAACATAGCGCATCCAGAACGGTAATTTTTTTCAGTGTTTAATGGTAATAATTATTTAACCTCAAGATAAACGTATATGAATGTCAGCAAGTTCTAGGCTGAGGTAATTAGCACCAGCTAATCCTTCAGTTTGATGGTCGTAATTGTTTTGGGAAACGAAGTGAATCTGATTCGGAGAAGCTTTAGTAAGAGAGATTAATTCCTTAGTTCCGGTATGAGTAAAGTTTTTTTTTTTTTTTTTTCCCCTTCTTCTTCTTCAAAGGGGCATTAGACGCAAAAGGCTATTAGTTTCTAAACGCATTTTGCATCGTTTCACCTTCTGCATTAATTCACTTTTCAAACTGTTGCCACCCAATATTATCGCCGTGTATTATATTTAAAGAAATTAAATAATGAAGAATCTGCATGAATGTTTCTCGCATTGTGGGGGGGGGGAAAGTAGAGCCATCAATTTTTGAACAACGAAGTCCTCCAACCGAACACGGGGACTTGGAAGCCCGAATTTTGAATTTCGAATTTGTTTTATTATAGCCGCTAGATTTGCTTTAACTAGCTGCTACGCGACCAGCCCTCATCTGCCTTTTAAATGTACCGTAAAAATGCCGCAGCAAACATTAAATTTAAAACATGCACAGAATTTTACTCTAAGAACAACTTTATCAATAAATTTAATAAATAAATAAATAAAAATAATAAAAACAGTAAAATTGTATCACATATTAAAAAAATTTCAGTGAAATGAGCAATATTCCATAAAAGTACAAATATCAGTTATCCTAATAAATAAATAAACCAACTTTTCGTTGAAAAAAAAAATCATGCTAAACTTTTGAGTTAAAAACAGTGAAATAGGCAATAAATATTTTATCTCATATTTTCAAAAGTCTGGAGTCCAGTATACAAAGGATTGACTGAAAAACTATTGCCAAAACCTCATTTCTAAAAGAATGAAACTATTCAAAATAATGCGATTTCATCAAAAAAGATAAAATTAAAATTAAAAAAAAAAAAAATCTGATTCGAATTTTGAAAAAAATCGCTTCAATGTGCACTGGCTCTTGTCTAGATGCACCTTTATACCAAATTTTGTAGCCCTGGGTCTATTAGCTTACGCGCAGTACGAACGAAAGACACACACACCCCACACAGACAGACTTTCTTTTATTATATGTAGAGAAGATTTAAAATTTTGTAAAACTTAAACGAAATTTTTTATTAACAAACTCAACGATTTCAAAGCGAGCAATGGCAACAGTGTACGAAGGGAAAAAAATTATCTCCAGCGCGCGAGACTGTGTATCGGAAATTCTAAAGATATGCTGTTTTTAAATATTTTGTGATATTGCTGTTGAATTGAATTTTATGTGGTTTAAGTGCGAAGAGCATGGTATTTAATAAATAAAGGTAACACACAAAACGTTTAAGAAACACCCTTTCGGGCGTAATATAAAATCTGAAAAGCTTTCAGATTTTCTTTTCTCTCTCTCTCTCTTTTTTCCAATCCATGGCGGGCGCTAGCCATTTTTATGCTTCCACCACTCCTAAGGGAGTGGAAAGGGGTTGTTATTTTATTATGGAGGCACCTAATAGGTGGCCCGCCGTTACCTCCTGTGAGGAAAGGTGGCGCTGCTGCTTTTTGAGTACTTGCTAAGTGTAGCATAGTAATTAGTATTTTTTGAATCTTTAATCTTTATTCATTGGGAAACTGTAGTAGGCTTAGTGTCTATCGTGCATTTAACCCTCTCGCTGCGTAATTTTTTTTTATCAAAATTCGTTCGAAAATTGCGTAATTTTTTAATTACGGATTTCAAATCTACATATATTTTAGAGTTAAAATATACAAAAAATTTTCGTAAAAGAGGGTTTTTTTTTTTTTTTTTTTCCCAGTATAGAATTAGCTCATAAAAAAAGATTGTCAGGAAGTTTAAACTGAAGAATAATCATATAAAAGAAAAATTCTGAAAATTAATCTTGGTTAAATTATGATTTATTTTATAAAATGTAATGTTAAAACATATATACTATGAAAATACGCAAAATATTTATAAAACATTTATTAGAAATGAAGTGTAGGATGATAAACTTCAAAACAAGGCTCGAGGCATCCTATCTCGCCATCTTTGCACCAAATACGCGTTTCTTTGAGAATTTTTTGCCAGTTTCAGTTCTTTTTTTAGAAACAAACAGCACAATGTCTACGAGTTGGAATTGGAGGATATATATCTAGCAAAATGTCGAGCAGTGAGTCTCATGTGATTGAGAGTTGAACTGCAGACATCTTTGATCTTTGAAAAGAACGCGCAAAAGGGTGCAAAATGTGTTTGTATATTTCGCAAAAATATGGACAACTAATGCCATCTGTTAACCCAAATCTAAATATATAATTAAACATCACAGAAAAGCCGAAATGAAACCATGAACGGGAAAACAGCGGCTTGTACAGTTAAATAAACGAAAAATATGCATGCCCCGGCGGAAATCGCGGGTTGCGCAAATTTTGCTACTTCTGTGCTGCCCGTGGAAATCGCCGAATACGCAGCAAGATGCATTTAAGCATTAGAAAAAAGTTTAAGAGTCTATGTTATATTACAAAATGTGTCTATAAAGTTGCCATATATTTTAATCATTGTTCCCATCTTTATTTCAGGTATACGAGCGCCCATCATGTTCTCGCAGTTGGCTGGAGCGACATGTCCTGCTACACGGCGGCAGTAAACCCTTTCGTTGTATCGTGGACGGCTGCAACCAGAGGTTCAGTTCCGAAGTGGTGCTGCAGAGGCATGTCAATTCCCACTTCCCTCAGTCCAGGAGCAACAAAGGGAGTGATCACGCGAATGGCAGGTTATGTCGCAGGAAAAGACACAAACACCGCAGGCGGCCACAATCCCGTAAGTTCTTACTTTCCTTGTTGCTCTTGTCCATTGTATCTTAATGCGTAGATCATAGAATCTTCAAGCGTATAAGTATTCAGAGCTCTTTCTTTTTGGTGTCCAGATGTTGATGCATTGAGTTGTCTGTCCAATGCACTGTTTCTATCTAAACTGTGAGCTGCATAATTCGCGGAGATGGCTATCTTTGTGACTTGTTGAAAGGCAAAATTCGCCGATAAAAGTGAAAATGTTAGACTGTGTATGGTAGGTGAGCAGAAGTTATTGGATTTATCTTGAATATCCTGTTTTCTTCACGAAGTAAGATTTGCTAGAGTTAAACGAAAAAAACTTATCCTGCTCTACATATTTTTCTTTATATATATATTTATATCCATTATAATCGAAATTAAACGTATCATCCTATTTATTTAAGGTAGAGAAAGCTAACAGTAGCATAGTTTTACATATTTTGTATTCCAATTGCTTTAGGCTTCCTAGACTGCTATTGAAAAAAAGCATGATTCTGAGCCGGTCAAAGAAATGAATCTATAAAAGAATTATGCGTTCAAAATTTCGTTTGCAGTTAGTAGTAATTTTCATACAGTGTTTCAGTGTTTTCCTGAGAATTTTTGAAAATCGTGCTAAAAATGTAAATTGCTAGTGCTAAGCGATATTGTGAACTTGATAAACTGCGTTAAAATACTTGATATTACGTTCTCAACTTGAAAAAGTGCAAGTATAGTGGAGACATGGGAAAAGAAATGAAAACGAGATTTTTTTTTTTTTTTCTTAACTTTTTCACTCGACAATGCAGATGCTATAAAACATGAAATTCTATTGGTAATAAATACTGCGAAAAAAAGTTGTAAATTATATATGGCAGCAGAAAAGGTGTTGCCCCAAAAGTAATTCTTTTCTTTTTCTCTTTTTTTTTTTTTTTTTTCCATCGCTTTTTTTTCTCCTTTCTCTGAAAAGTATTTCACAAGAAAAGATTGCATACGGGTATCTAAAGTGCCAGTTTTTGAAATGAATTATAATTTTTACCTCATTTTGAGCATAATTAAACAAAACTAGTTTTCGTTGTAATTCTGTTAGTTTTATCTGTCTCTTCATATCAAAAGCAAGCAATGAAATAAGAGTGCGTTTTTAGTACGCGTTTATATATTTATTTATTTATACAATGAAATACAAGGAACCCTCTCTTGGCAACTACTTCTTGTATCTGACCACCTCAAAATTGGCCAGTGTTTCTGAGAACAAAAATAAGCTCTGCCACTGGAAGCATATCGTCAAAACTCCCACTTCCACAAAAAGCCAAAATTATCTGAAACCGTGATTGGCCATCTTGGAAATGGCTCACTGTATACAAAACACATCTAGTTTTAAAACTATTTTAAACTATAACATTCATTACTATGGCATCTCATCTTGCCTTTCCTAAAATAGCGTCAGTAATTTTATTTCCACCTGAGCACAATCCGGAAATACTCCTGTATTTGATTTGAAACGCAGTCTGTGCTTTAACCCCCTTCTGTAAATAGAAGAACGTTTAGTCAGTGTTTTCAATAGCTTTAATTTGTATTATTTTAGTAGAACTTTTTAACCTCGTTTTATGTTTCCAAGGTATGCCACAAAGAAGCTTGTTATCGTCTCTCAAAAATCTTAGCCATTAATGATATTTAATCATAATTATGGAGCTATAATATAACTTTGTTTAATTTTATCTTTTTCAAAATTAAAATGTCGAGTTTTGAGAAATTCCCATATTACAAGTCCAGAGCAGCGGTTCTCAACCTTTTGACTAACGCGTACCATCTAAACAAAAATTGAAAACCTTTAGTACCACCACTACAAAGTACTACTTATCACCACCACCACTCTTGAACAAAGCTCAGATCGCATAAATTGACGAGTGTTAGAGAAAAAACTCAGTCAGGATGTTGAGGTTTTAATTTTTGAATTTAATAGTTAAAATACTTTACCTATTTTTCACTATTTTTACCGTACGCTTACCACTGGTTGAGAACTCCTGGTCTAGAGCATTAGAAGTTCAGTGTAAAAAGCTGCTCCTAGGAATTGGTCTGAAAGATAAAAACCGAAGGTATGCTGTTACAAACCACGCGATTGTTTTGGTTTAACAAATGGAAGGTGACGTTTCATAAACTGATTTCTTTATTATTATTATTATTATATACTAGGGGGAAGAAAATGAAGGCTAATATGGGAAGGACGGTCAACAGTTATTTCCGGTTCGGGCTGAATCGGGAATAAGATCTTCAAGGCTCATTTAGGATTAAGGCTATTTTTGGCTTATCACCCCCATCTGACATTAGTTTATCCTTCCCCCCCCCTTTGGAAAATTCTTAAAACTTTGCCTTTCAATGAGTTTATTGTTTTATGCAACATGAATCCTGCTAATATGGTTAATGTATCACCCCTCTTAAACCATCGATATCAGGCGGCGCTGTGGCCGACTGATATCGATCGCGAAATTTCTCGAATTCCCGATAGTCTTATCCGACTCTTTTGGCGACCTTTTTGATTGGAAGAGGATATTTCATAAGGAATTAATTCCTAAGAGACTGGCAGTGAACTCCATATTTTATGAAAACGTAATACGCAGATTTCAAAAGAGAATTCAGTTATTTAGATACGGAAAAGCTCAGTTGAATAACTGGTATCTGCTCGATGGCAAGGCAACGTCTGACAATTCCATTCTCATCGTTTCTAGCAAAGAAAAATGTCACAGTTTTCAAGCAGTTGACGCTTGCGGATTTCTTTCTCTTCTGTAAAATGAAGTCTTGTCTCGCACATTATTATGTTAGCAATTAATTTAATTCAAAAGATTCAAAAAACCGTAACCAGAAACTTAAACTGTAGTCAAAAAGATAAGTTCTATGAAAGAATTAAATCCAGCTGTTTGAAACTGCCAACCGTTGTATTTAAACTTACAATTTGTGTAGATTGAAGGCTGTAAGAATATTGCTTACTTCAATTTTCGATTTTGCACTAACTTAATCATAAAACTTTTTAGGCCCACTCGCATAGATACATTTTATTTTCAAGCACGTCAATAGTTCCGATAATCAGTTTCTTTATTCTAAAATTATTAATAATTGCATAATACTGATAGGAATTCTGAATGCTGTCTTCTGTTGTGTTTACTCCTTATGCCCGGGGAGGCGTTTTGATAAACAGTCGTTCCCTGGGCAACTAATGGATCTATAAGTTGTTTGATACACCCCCTGCCCAGACAGAATTACAGACATCTGCTAAACCTGGCTCTTGTGACGATAATAGAAAGGCAGCCGGGGGAGGGAAAGATCAATCATTTCGTTTTGAAATATGGTACAGTTAGAAACGCGTACTTGGTAATTTGGCCTTCGTATTATCCAGATATGAAACACTTGTAATATTTCATACATTTAAAAGCGTAAGAACTAATATTTTAACAATCTGGAAGTTTTATTTCCTTCCTCAATGTTAAAAAGATATGTAATGGAAAGGGTTGCTATATAACAAAGTGATTGGATCTCTTTTTGGAAGGATTCGCAATATTTTTTAATTCAGTCTTCAAAATTTTGGCAATCATATTTTAAATTCACCATAGTCAAAATAACGATTACCAATCGTTATAATCGATCTTCATTATTGTGCGAACAGTAATAATTCGAAACATGATAAAATAATGGCCCATTGTTTTGTAAGACAATTTCGTTAGAAATTTGAAACCTTTTGTGTATTTAAAATAACAGCATTGAAATAGAAGTTCAGAAATCGAGAACCACAACTCTCCCTATAGTTTGTCGTTCTGTCCAGGCAAATATAGAGGGGTCATCTTGTGAATAATACTTTTTTTTTTTTTTTTTCAAAATTAAGACGAACGAAGTTCCTTATTAATATGAAATATACTCTTGTTTCATCTTCTGTTAGTTCTTCAATAATTACGAAGGGATTTTCTTCCGCCAGGATTTGGAGGACGTCCTCTCATTCAGCTATCTTCTTCCAGGCTCGCCTTCTAGGCTGTAGTTTTCGGCTGGGAATTTCTGGAATCACCGCTGACACTGGCTTACGCGTATTGCCTGGTTCCCATTATTGCGTTAATATCCTTTTAATGATTGTTGAATCGAACTCATAAAGCAGAATGTAACTCCTTTGTCATTTCAATTTTAGCTTCGAAAAACTTCAAATTAGCAAAGAATTATTTTTAAATTTAATTACCTTCTTCAAAACGTACACTAAGAATAAAAAACTAGGCAAAATTACTACTTACTTTTCGAGGAAATAAATAGAGGTTGTTTATCCCATCTTCCTCCGACTTTTAGTTCATGCAATTGAAGAAACAGCGTTGTATATAGAATGAACTTATAAAATAAAAGTTGTTATTAACGTGTTTTTAATTTTTTCATTGACTTAAAACATATTTTATTATTTTAGTTTTCAGATAGTCTGTTATTTTGCGTTAATAAAAGCAATAATCTTATTTTAATTTAGTTGATTTAAAAACAGGTTACGAGAGCTTTTTTTAATACTTACGGGAAAATTAATTTAATCTTTTTAGTTTATGCTGTAAAAAGGTAGTAACGTCATGGTATTTAGATTGAAGGTCATAGTAAAATAAATTTCATTGTTTTTATTTTAATTGAAAAAGATTACGTTTCAGGAAAATAAAAACAATTCTTTAATTTTCTGAACAAAAAGGTGTTTTTGCATTTTGTCTTAGTAAAAAATAAAAATGTTTTTTTATTTTATTTTTTCCGCTGTATGTTCTTCGTTGAGGTAAATATGTATATATAAATAGGGGGGGGAATGAAGTGCATCCCGTTTTATGCCAAATGTGTGTTTGGCCAACAGGAACAATTCAACCCAATTATTCTGATTTTTTGGATATCCGAACAGGCTGCAGTCCGAATTAGTCGGAATATTGAAGATTTTATTGCTGTTTAAAAGCTGTATAGAAACAATTACTTTTCAGATACTTTAATTAAGTAAATATTACGAGTCTTTTGCATGGTATG